CGCCCCCCCTCCCAAGCCTGGCCCCTGCACAAACACCCTGTGGAGCTCCGGTACTTCTGTGCTTTCTTGCCTCGAACTACCCAGAACTCAGGTCCCAGCAGCTGAAGACCCTCAGCTGTTTGCAGCCTCCAGCTGGGTGGGAAATTCTACATTGGTGGGAGAAGCAGAATCCAGGGATGCCCCTCTCAGAGGGCTCTCAGGTGGGTGACAGGGCTGAAACGGGACAGAGTGCTCTTCCCAGCCCTCCCTCCTTTCTCCCTGTGTCTCTGTTCCCAGAGGTCTCAGTAGGATGTTTCCTTAAAGGAGACACAGGGGCAAAACTCAGCGTCCCTGCCATCTCTGGGTCAACCCAGCACTCGCCTTGGTCAGACAGCCAGCTTACCCAGTGCCATCGGCTCAAACACTGCAGGGGCCTGACGGGGCCTGACATAGGACTGAGGTGTCCCTAACTGGCTTGGTGCTGTAGAAAGCTTAGACTGTTAGAACCAGGGCCAAGATAGATTCTTGAGCCAGAAGCGCACGCCCCAGCCTATCCACCATGACCATCACTACCCATCGCTTTGTCCTTGGCTCATGCTTGCTTGCTTGCTTGTTCGTTTGAAAAGAGATTTTTGCTACAGGGCACATGTGCTTGCCAGAGAGACAGAAAACAAGACATTACCCCCCAGGGGAGATGGTCACGGCGCAATCCCTTCTCCTCTTGGGATTCTGGGGACCATGTACACGCGCCTGGCATGAGTTTCAAGCCGCCAAATCCAGGACTCAAACCATGGTTGGCCACGTGAGAGTCCAGTGCCGTAACCACCATGCTACCTGATGGCCCCTGTTTATTTCTTTACTTCCTCCATTAGGGAGAATGTCAGATAGAGCGACAGTACCTCAACAGGGCCCTAACACGGAAACCCACGCCCAGCTTTAGCCCGTCCTCAATCGCTGGCGTACCCAGGAAGGCCTCCAGACACACACCTGGGACCATCCCGTGCAGGTCAGTCTCACAGACGCATCATGTCACTGCTGAGCCGTGGCCCAGGCCCTGGCTCCTGTTTCTGGTCCCTGAGGGCTGTGAGGAAGGACCCTGTGTACTAACACACGCCCATGTGCCCATCCTTTCGCCGATACGTAAGGGAGGAACTTCCCGTTTGCTGCTGAAAGGTTACCGGAAAAACTAAGAAGAGTGAGGCTGAAGGGTAGGTAGGGAGACAGAACCAGGAAAGAAGTTTCCCTCCACTTTCTCTTCCAGCCATCTACCAAGTGACTCAGAGAGGAAGTGAGGCAGCAGCCAGCTTCCCAAGGCACATCAGACCCTGACATTGCAACTAACTTTACCCTCCCGGCTTCCACCCTCCTGGGCCAGGACTGCATCATCTCCATCACAATTTCCACCCATGCTGGCAGAAGAGGGGCCGGAACAGTGCCTGGGGCCCGTCCCAGGCCAGGAAGAAAAGGCAAAGGCTATTAACCTATGCCAAGCCCCACGCTGGCCTGATATCTCCCTCAGAATCCCGGCTATGGGAAAGGATGTCTCAGAACATCATAGCTGTACTGCTTCCTTAGACTCAGGGACATCCTGCAGCACTTTCTGAAGGAGAGAGAGGTCAAAGAGTAGGTTAGAAATGGGAAGTATATGTAAAAGACGGGATAAGGAAAACAAAATAATAAGTAATAGTGAAGGAGAGGTATCTCCCTTCAGTGGAAAGAGTTTCTTGTTTTTTACATTTTTAATTAACTAATTATATTTATTTTTGCTATAGAGCACATATGCTCACTACAGAGACACAGAGGAGAGAAAGAGGAAGCAAGAAAGTACCCCCCACAAGGTGGGATGGCCATGCCACAATGCCTTCTCTATTCTCTTCTTAGGACTTGGGGCACACATGCACATGTGCCCAGCGTGTGTTTTGAGCTGCCAGGTCTGAACTTGAACTGCATATGGGATCCAGTGCTTTAACCGCTACACCACTGGCTGGTCCAGTGGAAAGAACTTTAAAAAAACAAAAATAAAAACAAAAAACTAGGATGTAAGAGCCTTAGGTTCGACCCTCACTACTATTTATCAGTTATAAGATTGTGGACAGTTATTCATCTTTTCTGATTGTCAAGTCATTCTCCTGTAAACATAGAATAATGATTACAAAGAAAGTCTGGGAGCCAGCAGGTGGCATGGTGGTTAAGGTGCAGGAATTCACACATGGCTGACCGCAGTTTGAGTCCTGGACCTGGCGGCTTGCTCTCTCTCTCTCTCTCTCTTTCTCTCTCTCTCTCTCTCTCTTTCTCTCTCTCTCTCTGTCTTTCTCTGGCAAAACTCATGGGAAAACAAATAAATAAATACATAAATAAAACAATTTTTTAAAAGAAAGAAAGAAAGAAAGTCTGGCCAGGACCAGCAGTTGGCGTAATGGCTATGTCACTGGATTCCCATGTAGTCGACCATGGTTCAAGTCCCAGACCTGGTGGCTTAAACTCATGCTGGGCGCGTGTGCGTGCGTGCCCTAGATCCCGAGAGGAGAATGGAGGAGAAGTGATTGCGGCATGGCATCCCCCAAGGGGAGTGATTTCTCTCTTTCTGTCTCTCTATCTCTCTCTGGTGAGAGCACGCGCCCTATAGCAAAAACCTCTCAAAAAAAAGAAGGTCTGGCCTGGGCCTGGACCCCTAGGGAGAGGTCCTGTGTCCCAGGACCTCCCTGAGTATGCCAGGCACATGTACCCATGATTCAGGCTGGCTGGGATGGGGGTGGGTCATGGCATGGGCCTGCTGGGGTGCCTGTCTCTGTTTCTTTCTTGCTCTCTCATGGAAGAAGTGATTTCTTTTTTTAAATTTTTGTCAGAGGGTGCATGTGTTCTCTTGGAGAGAGACAGTCAGACAGAGAGAGAGAGAAAAGCACTTCCATGAGGAGTGGTCACACCATAATCCCTTCTCCTGCATTTTCACCTCCTTTCAGGATTTTGACCATGCACACACACTGCCCAGTGTGTTTCTCAAGGTACTGGGTCTGGGACTTGAACCACATGGTTGGCCATGTAAGATCCAGACACCTTGAGGCTCACAGATGGTGTGGTGGTTAAAGTGCTGCACTCTCTCAGAGCCGACTGTGGTTCGAGTTATGAAATAAATATAATTACTTTCTCACTTTCCCTTTCTCTCTCTTTCTCTCTAGTCAAATTAAGAAAATAATAATGGTGGCTGGCAGGTGGTATGGTGGTATAGGGCACTGGACTCCCAACATGCCTAACCACAGTTCAAGTCCTGGACCTGATGGTTTTCTCTCTCTGTCTCTCTCTCTCTGTCCTTCTCCAGTCAGATTAAAGTAAGTAAATAAATAAAATTAATTTTAAAAAATCTAAAAAAAAGATGAATAAAGTTAAAATTAAAAATTAAAATTTAAAGAAGATCCAGACACCTTAACCACCACACCAGCTGGCCCAAGAAATGAACAAATATATTTTTTTTAAAAAGAAAGAAAAATGATCTGAATCAGAATTTGCCCTGGCTGGGCATGGGATGAGGAGTCCCTGTAAACAGGCACAGGGTCTTTGAGAGGGACAGAAATGTCCTAATATTACATCATGATAATTGCATAGCCCTGTAAATATGGAGGGGTCTTCAAGAAGGCTAGTAGAGGGAAAATGTGTACTATGACAAAGCTATGTGTGGATTTCAATCTTTTTCTTTTTTAAAGAAATATTTTATTTAACTTTATTTATTTATTTTAATTTGACCAAAGAGGGACAAAGTAAGAGAGGGGGTGGCAGGGAGTGAGACAGCAAGTCGCCAGGTCCGGGACTCAAACCATGGTCGGACATGTGGGCCTCCATGCCACTCGCTGACCCCGGATTTCCATTGTTTTTGTACCAAAATAAATTTAACTTTAATCTCACTTTTCATTTATTTGTTTATTTATTTATTTATTTATTTTTACTTTAGGGCGTGTGTGCTTGTCAGAGAGAGGAAAAGTTCACGAAAGCACCCCCAGGAGATGACCACAATGGGGGTGATCACACGGCTGGAACCAAGACTCCAACAAGTATGGTCAGCTATGTGAGGTCCAGCCATCTTAATCACCATGCCACCTGGTTGCCCCTTAAGCCCATTTTTCTTTTCTTTTTAAAAAAGAATTATTTTTTTGCTCTCTGTCTCTCTCTGTCTGGCGAGCGCACGCGCCCTATAGTGAAAACCTCTCAAAAAAAAAAAGAATTATTTTTTAATTTAATGTAAAATATTCATTTATTTTAATATGACCAGAGAGAAAGAGAGAGAGAGAGAGAGAGAGAAAGTGAGAAAGCAAGCCACTAGGTCCGGGACTCAAACTGTGGTTGGCCATATGGGAGTGTCCAGTGCTTTAACCACCATGCAACCTGTTGGTTCCCATCTTTTTTTTTGGAGAGGTTTTTGCTATATGGTGTGTGCGCTCTCCGGATAGACAGAGAGAGACAGAGAGGCAGAAAGTGAGAAATCACCCCCAGGGGGGATGGTCACACCGCAATCCCTTCTTCTCCATTCTCCTTTTGGGATCTTGGGCACGCACGCACATGCACCTGGCGTGAGTTTTAAGCCAACGGGTCAGGGACATGAACCGTGGTCAACTACATAGGAGTCCAGCGACATAGCCATTACGCTAACTGCTGGTCCCCCCATCTTTTTTAAAAAAAATAATTATTTTATTCAATTTTTAATTTATTCATTTATTTTAATTTGACCAGACACACACACACACACACACACACACACACAGAGGAAAGTGAGAAAGCAAGTCACCAGGTCTGGGACTTGAACTATAGTTGGCCATGTGGGAGTGTCCAGCACCTTAACCAACATGCCACCTGTCAGTCCCCTTTTTTCTTTTTTTTTAAAGAGAGGGTTTTTTTTTTTTTTTTTTCTTCAGTGTAACTTCACTCAGGGCACATGCACTCACCAGAAAGACAGAGAGACAGAAAGCAAGAAATCACCCCCCAGTGGGGATGGCCCCATCACAATCCCTTCTCCTTTTTCCTCTTGGGATCTTGGGCATGCATGCACACATGCCCGGCGTGAGTTTAAGCTACCAGGTCCAGGATTTGAACCACTGTCAGCTACATAGCCATTACGCTAACTGCTGGTCCCAAGAGAGGATTTTTTTTTTAATTTTTAAAAAATTATTTTATTTAACTTTTATTTATTCATTTGTTTATTTCAATTTTACCAGGTTAGGGGAGAGAGAGAGAGAGAGAGAGAGAGAGAGAATGTAAGCCACCAGGTCTGGGATTTAAACCGTGGTTGACCATGTGGGAATCCAGCACCTTTAACCACCAAGCTACCTACCAGCCCCAAGAGAGTTTTTTTTTTTAATTAACTTTTTTATAGAGAAGTTTTTTTTGGAGGAGAGATTTTTGCTATAGGGTGCATGTGCTCACCGGAAAGACAGAGAGAGGAGAGAAAGTGAGAAATCATCCCCCCTTCCCCCCCATGGCCACACCATGAATCTTGGGCGCGGGTGCGCGCGCACGCGCGCACACACACACACACACACACACACACACACCTGGCTGTGTTTCAAGGCTCCAGGTTTGGGACTCAAACCAGAGTCAATCTTGTGGGAGCCTAGCGCCTTAACCACAGCGCCACCTAGGGCCTCATGAACGGCACTTTTCTTTTCTTTCTTTCTTTTTTTTTTTTTTTGGAGAGGTTTTTTGCTATAGGGCACGTGCGCTCACCAGACAGACAGAGACAGAGAGACAGAAAGCGAGAAATCACCCCCCTGGGGGATGGCCACACCGTAATCCCTTCTCCTCCGTTCTTCGCACGCACATGCACCCGGCGTGAGTTTTAAGCCACCGGGTCTGGGACGCGAACCGCAGTCGACTACATGGGAGTCCAGTGACATAGCCATTATGCTAACTGCTGGTCCCAAACCACACTTTTCTATGAACTGTTTTTTTTTGAGAGGTTTTTGTTATAGGGGCTGGCGCTTGCCAGAAAGAAAAAGACAGAGAGACAGAAAGCGAGAAATCCCCCCCCCGAGGAAATGGCCATGCCGCAATTCCTTCTCCTCTGGAGATCTTGGGCACGCACGCACACGCGCCCGACATGAGTTTAAACCTCTGGGTCCGGTGACTGAACCACGGTCGATTACATGAGAGTCCAGCAACATAGCCATTATGGCTACTGTTAGTCCCTCTATGAACTTTTTGAAGTGCCCTCGTGTACTAAAATATAACATAATTGAACTGCACACTAATCGGATACATTTAATGGCATATAATTGTTTCTACATAAAAGATGATAGTTTCTTTCTTTTTGTGTATGTGTGTGTGTGGAGAGATTTTTGCTATAGGGCGCCTGCGCTTGTCAGAGAGAGAAAGAGAGACCTAAAGCGAGAAATCATCCCCCAGTGGGGATGGCCATGCCTCAATCACTTCTCCTCCTTCTCCTCTCAGGATCTTGGGCACGCACGCACACGTGCCCAGCGTGAATTTAAGCCACTGGGTCCTGGACTCGAACCGCGGTCTACTACATGGAAGTTCAGCGACATAGCCATTACGCTAACTACTGGCCCCAAAGATGCTAGTTTCTTTAAAAAAAAAAAAGAAAAGAAAAGAATTATCTGAAACTTCAGGTATTACATTCAATTACACGATTGGTGACGTGCAGACCGTGTAAAAATGCCAGTTACTGGGCCAGTTTATTTACACCAAAGAACTTCAAGAGGTGATAGAGACCGTCAAAGAACAGGCTGATATGAACAAGAGGGCTCGGAGGAGCGGAGAGAAGGAGGTGAGAGGAGTGATAAGGAGAGAGGTGCAGGGAGAAGATAAGAGAAGATGGTGAGATCAGGAGGTGCAAGGCTGTGGCCCCAGCTCAGAAACCGGATCCAGGCAAAGCAGAGAGACACCAGGCCAAGCTGTCCCAGCCTCGGGGCGGTGCTTTGACGAAGGGGTCTTGCCACAGCCCCGCAGAGCTGCCACCTGGGGGCGCCCTCTCCTCGGGCCAGCCTACGCTGCAGACCTGTGCGGCGCCGGGGCGCCTCCTCCTGGCTGCGGGCTTTGGGTCAGACGCCGCGGCCGACTCGCAGGCCTGGGCCGTAATTACTGAACGCGCCCGCCTGCCCCGCCCCAGGCCCCGCGGCCTTTCTGGGAAGCCCCGCCCCGCCCGCTGCCAAAAAAAGGCCCCTGCGGTGCGAGTCCAGCTCCGGGAGCCCTCCCGCAGGCGGGTGTAGACGCCCCCGCTCCTCGTCGGGAGCAGCGCTTGGGTGTCTGGGTTTGAGGACCTACGAGGACGAGGCCCGAGCTCCCGCAGGTGACCTCGGTCTCCTCGCCCAGCAGGGATGCAGAGGCCACCCAGTCCGCCCGACCTCAGCCCTCTCCGTCGAGCGGCGAGTCCAGAGTCCCTGGGGCACTTCCGAAGGGGACCGGAGGCCCGGGGCAAGCTGACACGCTCTGATCCCAACAGGCCACGGACGCGGCCCCAGGCTCCCAGTGCAGCCCGAGACCCAGCCCTCCGTGGCGCCCCCGCCGGGTCGCTCTGCGGTCGCTCACCTGTGCCCCGGAGGCCCAGCCGAGGCCTCGCGCCGCGCGTCGCATGGCTGCGGCCGCCTGGGATCCTGTCGGCCCCCCGCCGCCTTCTCCTGCCCGGCGCACATCCGCCCAGGAAGCGCCGCCGGCAGAGGAAGGAGTCGGGAAGGGAAGGAAACTGAGGCTGGGAGCCCAGCGGGTTGGACGCCCGAACCGGAGGGGGGAGGCGCCCAAGGGCCGGGGCGGGGAGAACGTGGGGACAAGCGACACAGAGGCAGAGAGCGGGGGGTCTGCGGAGGGACTGGGCGGGCAAGGGCAGAGCCAGGGGGGCTGGAGAGAGAAATGAAAGGGAGGCTGAGGGGTGAGGGAAAGGAAAGGCCTGGGGGGCGGGACAGCGGGTCCCCGAGTGGAGCGGCGACGGACAGAAAGTCGGGGGGCACCAGCAGGTGCTGACGGCGGGGCCGCGGGGAACCGAGGGGGCGGGGGGGG